CATTTTCAATCAAAGAGAAACAACAGAACATAGCTCAATTATTTTTATGTTACAACTTTTCTGAACTTAGTTGGATTAAAATGAAAAATTTCCTACTTATAATTTTGAATAATTTAAGTAGCATTTATGGTCCATTTTTAAATAAAAACTTTTTTTGATTTATTTTTTAATTTAACTGAATTAAAAAAACTGTACTTCCTATTCACAATTCTGAATTGAGTAATATTCATGATGCATAGAAAATGCTAATATTATTTTTAGATAGAAAGGCATAGAAATATGCTTTATGCAATTCCTAATAAATGAATAAAATACATTTAGGATTGAAAAGAAATCTATTTTAATTCATTTCAGTCCATTCTTGTTTACTGGGGTAATAAATAATCTCACACAATACAGAAGCTCCCCGGGAGCTCATAACATTTTTGCAGCTTTATTTAAGTTTCAAAAAGAACTCTTCAAGACCTCCTGTGTTTGCTTTTGAAAATTCTCTGAGAGCTTCATCATTTTGGTTCACATCCAGCAAACGAGAATGAATTGAAATGAATTGAAATGGATTCAGATTTTCAGAAATATTGATTCACAAATGTTAAAATAAATGCTTTTCCTGAATACATTTTTATTCATTTATAGGAATTACATGGAACATATCTCTATGCCTTTCAATCTAAAAATAATATTAGCTTTTTTTGTGCATTGTGAATACTGTTTAATTTAAAATTTTGAATAGGAAAATGCAATTTTTCAATCCAATTGCATCCAATTGAATCTAATTGAATCCAATTAAATAAAAAAAAATTTCAATCTATTTTTTTTTTTTAATCCATTGATTAGATAGGGAGTTCTCCGAGAATTACCGAGATTTCATCAAAAAACTCCCAGTCGACACAAACTGAAAGTAACATAATGTTATTATTATAATTTCGTACTCTACAATATAATGTAACGAACACATAATGACGTTATGTTATTATGCGCTTCAAGTCTGATAGTAAAGAAAAAGAAATTATACGGCGCATAATTTATATAATTGTAAAATGTATTTAAAATTTACGTATAAAAATATTATTAACCATCTCAGATTTAGCCTCGATCTTATATTGACTTTTTCTTATTTATTTGATTTATTCATACAGAATTTAGATTAACTTATTATTAACTAGTATATTAAATAAATTGTAAATATATTATATGTATATGTATATAAAAATAGATATATAATTATATAATAAATTAAAGAATGTATTTTCTGCTAAGAAATCTAAACATATCTGAAGTTTGACAAAACACATATTGTTTGCTCTGCAACAGTGATAACTAATAAAGATTAACTTATTATCAGTAGCAAGTCTTCTCAAAGGTACATAAATGGAATTTAAATCTTTCAAAGTTTAGTATGCAAAAATAGACGATTATTTTACGCGGGCTTGTATGTTTCTGATGACGTTCCGTATGGATTATAATATGCAATTATCTGGAAAAAGGATTTCTAGGAGTAATATTTATTAATTTCTTTAAGCAAAAGCTGCTCCGTTGTTTCGTTTATCTCTATGAATCTCTTGTTGGCTCGACTAAAATAATAAATATCGCCGGTATAAATGTCGAACCATAGCGCGTGGATGTGCAAATCGTGCCTTTCCAGACGCTTCTTTAGGAATCCGTACGACGAGATATTTTGGAGTTGCTGCAACGTATTGATCTACAACAAAACAAGTTCCACAAATGTAACGAGATAGATAATCGGCTATTCTCGTAGCGTCCTGTTTGATCTGTGTACTGACTTGCGACAGCTTATCTTCAATGGCGAATTTATCCTCCGGATCGATGTAGGCGACAAATTTTCGTAATGACATCTCGCCCTGGAAGAGAATCGGCTCATGAAAACCGGTGATTTCGAGATGCTGAAACTTCGTTAAGCTGCTGCTGGCGTGCGCACACAGCCATGCTTTCAGCGGTGACATTCTTCTGCTCGCCTAAAATTCGGATGGCATTATCGCGCGATTACGAAAATGTGCGAAAATGAGACATGAGAAGAAAAAGAATTTGTCGACGAATTTTTAATCGGGAAACGCAAGGAAAACGCACTTGAGACGCGAACTCCTTGTCCCGTAAAGCGTAGAGTAGATTCATCGCCTTGCAATCGCTATGGCCGCAGACTATAATGTGCCTTATATTGTTCACCACACATCCAAGTTCCAATGCTGCCGCCTCGCACATAGTAAATTCGTCCACAAAGTGATGCGAGTGCGGAATGATATTACCGGGATTTCGGACTGAAAAGGTAAACTCTGTGTTAGACCGTCTGATACATTTTATATATTTCGATTTTTGATCGTTTTTTCATGGATGAAGAAAAATTTGGAAACCACATGTATTCGTGAATACATTCAACTATATATATATTCCGAAAAGTATCAAAATTCTTGCGATATTTTCAAAATCATTTTATTATAAATATATAAAAGAAGATATATGTATATAACATATATAATGTATATAAATATAATACACGTAAAAATAATATTCATAAAAAACGCAAAATTTAATAAAAAAATAATTTCCGAAAAAAGAAAATGTTAATTTGGATATATTATATAGTTCTCGTGGCTCCTTTGATTTAAATAAAATTTTGATAAAGAATAAATATATGATTAAGATTGTAATGAATAAATATCGTATACTATAATTATCTCATCAGAGGATCTCTGATATTGTAAGAAGCATAGAAAAGAAAATACGCTGCGATAGAATCAGAAAAATTAGAGAATGAACTAGCAAGTTACATGCGATCGCGATAATGCTACTGTAATAGATCGTACCGACAAACATGTCTCCAATGTTCGTTTCCGTAAATCTAGTTGGAATCATCCGGGAGTCCATGCAGGTAAAAAACACTGCCTTTGGCTGTGATAGGAAGTAACAACAGACATCAAATTACAGGCTGTGCTAGCAAAGTTATAAATATGCGACATGGGTGAAGATATTTAAGTAATATATATATATTTTTTTTTCAATATATTCGACTTTAGTCTATTCGAATTTTATTAAATAAATAAACAAATAATATAATTATTTATTTATTAATCTGTTAAAAAATAATATGAAGATTTTAATAATTATTTTTTCCTTAGATTTTTGGATATGTTTTTATATTTCAAAAATAGTAGAAAGAATATACAAGATTATACATAAAATAAGATTCTTATTGATTATACAATGTATCCAACTTCAGTTTCAAAATCCTTGTAGTACGAATAAGGCATCCCTTTCCTAGATTCCTGAATATTCTTTATTTTTATTTTTAAAAACAGAAAGGTAAATATAGAAATATATATTTTTTTATTATATTTAAAAATTAAATATTCTACATATATTTTATTATAGATGAAAAAATACAATAATGCACTTTTAGCATCTCGCTAAAGTATCATAACCTACATTACCTGCATTACCAAAGAAATACATACTATAGTAAAAGCAGAATTCACTAATCAAGATATATCCTACAGTCGGTATACATATATTCTTGCGATATTTTAAAAATCATTTTATTATAAATATATAAAAGAAGACATATGTATATAACATATATAATATACATAAATATAATACACATAAAAATGATATTCATAAAAAACGCAAAATTTAATAAAAAAGTAATTTCTGAAAAAAGAAAATATTAATTTCTAATATATTATATAATTCTATATATTATATAATTCTCGTGGCTCTCTTGATTTAAATAAAATTTTGATAAAGAATAAATATATGATTAAGAAATCATGATATAACATTACCAAAGAAATACATACTATAATAAAAGCAGAATCTACTAATCGAGATATATCCTACAGTCGGTATACATATATTCTATATAATCTACGTTCGGTATTATCAATAAAATAATTGTGATAAAAGCAGAGAAGAAAACAGACATTTTCCTAACATAACAATGTAAGGTAATAAATCTATATAGAATAACTTTATTGGTAAAAACATAACATTCCCCATATTATATATAGGTCAGTAAGATAAACATGGATAAATATTTTGCTGTCATTAGATACGAGTACTCTAATCAATTATTGGTCAATCAATAATTCGATGTCATGCTTCAAGCCATTACATTTAAAATAAGTGATCTTATTAATTAAGTCGTATTTAATAATGTGTGTGGAGAGAAAAAAAGAGTTGCGAAAGAATATTTTTTACGGCCCACTACCACTTGCTCCGAGATAGTATCAACAAAACGCACGTGAACTACACTCGACGTGGCAGTGCAAATGTACCTATATATCTATCTATCGAAAAAATCGTCACGCGAGATTTTTTTTCTATCATGCGACATACCTCGGGATGATCTTTAACTTGTTGGAATTGCTTCACCATGCCTTCCCGGTGACACTTTCTGTACTTCATGATCCCCTTCAGTATTTTATCCATTACGACATTCGAGTAGTAACTATAAAATGAACTATCAGAAACTTATTTTCCTAATGTGAAGAGCAATGACAGCACACAATTCCGCCATTTAGCAACTCAACGGCGGGAAATTTAACTTCACTCTGATTTATCATAAAACAAATAAACATTTTTTTTTTCAATTCAAAAATGTTTCGACTTTATAAAATATAGTAACGATATAATCTTCTTACGGACTCTCCCAAATGCAACAACAAAAAATCCAAAAAAAATCAGAGCGAATGAGAGTCAGCGTGATAGTTAATACGCAATCTTAAATCTTTATTCCAAAAAATAGAAAATAGTACGTTTCAGTTCACTTTGGAATCATCCTCAGCAATACAATTTCAAAATATCAATTTCATGTCCAAGAAAAAATCACCATTAGATTAGAATTTGATTAGTTTTTGATTATTCTAAAAGTTTTTAAGTCAGGTGATTTTAAATTTATTTTATATTTTTAGCTTATTTCATCGGAAATATTTCTATCAATTTTATAATTTTAAATATGTTCATTCATGGAAGAAATATAAGCTTACTTGTAGTTATAATTTATTTGCATATTTAAAAAATACATCCTAGTTTTAAATTGTTATATCTTTGAGGATTGTAAACATATAAACACATTGTAAATTTTTTTCTTACCAAATTGACGTTAAGTGTTTATCTTTTACAATATGATATTCCGATGCAGCATAGATTGCACATCCACTTAAAAGTTCTTTTTATGTTTGAGGACGATCTTCAATAAGGAAATCAATCAGTGAACACATAATTAAAATATATCGCGATTATACATCGATTATTTTCAGAACTTTTCTATTGTCGTGATTCAATTACGAGAATAGAAGCTCTTAAATGGATACTCAGTCTTGCATTGTTATATCATAATATCATGCAGATATAGAACAAACATATAGTTGTATGATTAATTATAATTAATTATTAATTAATTAACATTCGTTAGATGCTAATGAGACATGTTTCGAATCATAAATGATTATTGAATTGAAGAATAAAAAATAATTCTTAATGCAAGAGAATCGTGAATATGGAAACTATTTTACGTCGATAAATGGCAGATGCATTATGAAAGATGTATCATATCCGCGTGTAACATGTGAGATGAATTCATATCAATAGAATCCTAATATATGGCCTGAAGTACAGTGATAATCGTCAGCCTCTTTCGGATACGTCGAGTATATACTTATTTTGTCATAAACGCTCACATTGAAGAAGCCATACATTGAAGTAACCCGATCTCAACAATCGTATCTCCGCAATGGCGCATTATCTAATAAGATACGCGATTCCAGAAATTCAGCAATTATTAATAGGATGGACCCGGGTGACAAGGCGCCTGGGTCGCGCCGACTTCTATCTAGTCAACGCCGAACTCTGACTGGCACGTTCCAACTTTTCAAAATGCTTTCGCGCGTTGCGTATGTTGATTAACGTCGCTGCGGATGCTGAAAGAAAACGCGCGTTTTAATAAACTTCAATATCAGGAAACACAGTAATGCCTTGAGTGTCAAGTGCTCGATTATATTTTATACAGGACATGTATTTGAAATACTTTTATTTAAAATACAGTATTTGGAAGACAAGTATATTTTGTATTTCAGCGGAGCACATAAAAGTAAAAGAGTGACAGTTTTTTGTATTTTGTAATAAAATTGATCTTAGTATTTGAAATATAAAATATAAAATACAAAATACTTTCAATCTTTCATTATTGATACTGAAATATAAAATATAAAATACTTTTATATGCTTCCATAAAATACAAATACAAAATAAAATTATATACAAATATAGTTTTTCAAATACATACTCAGCTGTGTTAAATATATTTAAAAAAAAAATACATATATATAATCGATATTGGATTTGAATTGTGTACAAATACTTGAAATACTTACGTATAGTTGGATCGGACATGATAACCATGACGTATGTATTTGAGGTAAATATGTCGATAAAGGCCGCAAAATTGGTATTTCTAACTTCCATACTTTGAAATTGTGCCGCTAACTTACTGCAAAATTAATAAAAACTGCAAACGTTGCATCTTTTTCTTGTCAGTTTTTTTTTTACATGATTCATGCTTACCTACAACTCAATTTGAATTGCTTTATTATGTTGGAAACTTTTTCAAATCGATGAACGTCTCTGTGAAACTGCCGTTGACAATGACTTATTACTAGAAAGGTCGCTCTTTCAAACAAAAGCACTTCATCTGCGTCAATAATATTAGCAAACTGGTTCAAGCTTTGTTCAAGTTCCTTCACATTGGGAATCAGCATATATACAATGGATGACCATGCTCTACAATAATAAAGATTTATTTGTCTGCTTTAATTATGTTCTTATCTGATATATACCTGTATAAAGTTTCATCCCATATGCTAGTTCTGAAGCAAGTTTTCCCTGAATATATAATCGCGTTGGTCCTCTTGCACAAGATCCATTTTATGAACTAGGCAAAATATCTTCGCCTCTGGGCTATTCTGCAGTATTGCTTCTAAACAGCTCTGATAATAATGCATATCTTTGTCCAGCTCTCTCGATTCCACATCAAAGACATAAATCAACACCTCTACATTTCTAAATATGTTATCACGTTGCGATGCAAAATAATTCTCCATGAATGCCTCCTGTCCTCCGCAATCCCACAAATTCAAAACCAAATTGCCGAGAAAACGAACATGGGAGTGTTCTACGTCAACTGTAATAAATTACATTATATTAGTCCTCCTTTAAACTGGCAATCTGTTCTTAATTCAAGAGCATCTTAAGGAAATTAATGTTTAAGATGGTATTAGTATCTTAAAATATTAATATAGCTGGTTAATTTATTTAAATTGATGTATTCGAATCGATCACAAAACTGTATTAGCATCTTAAGATATTACTTAAGACAGTCATCTTGAAATAAAAACGGATTATGAATACTTAGGACTATTAGCATAAGTTTAGCTTACTCGTTGCTCCTAGACGATGGGTATCGCGAGCAATATAATTGGCAAAAATAATACTGCGCATACTCGTTTTTCCAGACCCACTCTTGCCCATTAATAGTACCTGAAATAAAAATGATACATATTTTGTCTCAGAACAAAGACGTGTCTCCATAAGAAAGAAGACTTATGCAAAACAAAAAATGCAATTCCATGCATTTGCATAATGTAAGAAGAAAAGTTTACCTTTTTCTTCATCGTGAATGGATAATGTTTATTCGTTTCAATAAATCCTTCTGTAAAAAGAAGTTGCTGGCTGATCTCCGCTGGTCTTCCAAATGTCTTGGCTTATCAATTGTTCTCCGCCCTAGAGCAAGGATCGCACGCGGCAGTACACTCAACCTGCGGCTGCCTATCACCAACTGTCGCATCAAAACACGCAATGTGATTATATGTTACATATATTACACGTTGCGTCTCGAAGTAACGTCATCAACCCACATGGAAACGTACTCTCACGTCTCTCAGCGCAGAAGCGTGTAAAAATCAGCTACTGACGCCAACTTCAGATCGTTGGCCATGTCACTCACTAACAAGAAACGGTATCGCGCTAATTCAAACCACATTCGATTACCAATGTTCATTAATTTTTACGCACTTCCGGAATCTAGATTTTTTTAGGGACTTTTTAGATATACGTCATGACAGCTGTGGAATGCTGTCAAATCAGCTGTTTTGCGACGTCGCCCTTCTCCCACTTTTCTCTACAATCATAATGCATGAATATACGTAGATACGAATGTTGTATATCCGAAACATCCGGGACAACTTCATGCGATAGATTTGTTCATTGCAGCAATAATCGAAATATTTTTGCAGTTGTACTGTATTATATTTCCTCCGTTTATAATAAAATAGACATTCAATTAGATATTAAAAAGAAAAAAAGAGAAGTAGCGTAACGAACAGATTCATTCACGGCACCGAGTGTAATCGAGTGCCGTACTTACCTTCTTCGCAGGTTCTTCGGTCAATCGATGTGTCACGTGAATAGTACAAAGAATCTCTCATGTGATCCTTTCGATACCTGTAAATAACTCATACGAAATACGGTCGCTGGCTCCGTGTTCGTTTGCTGCTTTTCGGAGGAACGTGATCAGATAGAAAAAAAATGGGCGCATCTGCAATACCCGTGATAGCCTTCACGCTTCTCTGGGGCGCCGTGGTATTTCTAGGAGTAGCTCTACCACTTTTCGTTCCAAAGGGACCAAATCGTGGGTAAATATCTCTCTCGACGTTCTTTTTTGCTTTACATTCTCATTCCATTAAATTCGCATCTGTACATAGATCTCTTGAAACAGACAATTTCCTCTTGTATAAACATTTCTTCTCACAATGTTATAGCTTGTAAAATAATAACTGCATTTGATCTAATTTTCCTTGAACATTTTGGTTAACAGAGATATTTTAAAGATATAAATCGATATCTGCTCAAGTTAACTATATTCGTCAAACTTTAATTTATATTGACATTTATAGGATATTGCAAGTTCTCCTGGTATTAACAGGCTTTACATGCTGGCTATTGTAAGTATATTTTTACGGCATCTTGATGTTTTAGTTATACATTTGTAATTTATACGTAAATAAAATTATCTTATAGCTGGCTATGTTGCTATATGGCACAGATGAATCCATTGATTGGGCCAAAGTTGAATAGTAAGATCATACTAGTTATGGCTCGAGAATGGGTAAGTCAAAAACATCGAAGATTAGATAATTCTGATAATTCATATTATATATGTATGAATTGTATTAAAATCAATTGATTGAATTATCTTGTTATTTCATGGTTAAAAATATTGCGGAAATGTATAAATAATTTATATTTAAATATTATTCATAAGTTAAATACACATTATTTTGTTACAGGGTAATCCTGTTGATTAATGAACATTCCACCATTCACGAAATTTTTTATTTCAAATGTATACGTTCATTCTCCGACATTATTTTCAATGAAAATATATATACTCGAGCAAAACGCAGAAGTCATAAATACATCATCATGATCTTATTTGTTACTTATAAGTTCATTTTTAAGTTGACGTTTGTACAGCATCATGATGATGTTCTATGACATTATTATGCCTTTATTGTGGCTTTGTGTACTACCTAGATAATTAGGAATATATAAATTTATGAAGATGAAATGCCAGTATGTCTTAATAATTCCTATAAATGAAATGAACAGTTCAGTTGTAATTATACATTAATTTAATTTGTATATAAAATATCTATCGCAATTACTTAGAAATGTGTAAGAATTTTAATGTAATGATTACTTGAAAAAATTATTGTTGGAAAAATAAAATCATGATCTTAATTGTATACATCTTTATATCTCATCTCATTTAAACTTATTCTATTGTCAAGTTTATTTTTCTCCTACGAAAGTATTGATATGAAAAAATAAGAATAAAAAATTAAAAAAGAATATATTCGTAAAATTATTATTTTTACAGATAATATAATCTTTTTAATTTTTAAATTTGTGATACTGAAGATGACCTAAGAATGACTTAAGGAAACGAAATGTTTATTGTTACTGTAGGATGCGAATTTCTAAAGTTATTTAGGCACAAAACATTTAGCTATGGTTTTTATGTTTTTACTCTATTATTATCCATTTTTCTCTTGATACATTTACATGTAATGTGATTATTTTGGAACAACCTGTATATTAGTTGCAGGCTATATCACATGAGAGCGATAAAATGTCACTATCGGATGATTACCGACAGCCAATGAGAACCATTCGACTAGTCGTCCATATTACATGAGATATTAGCTTGAAATTCTGAAATATAGTTTACGTTCTTCACAGTACTCCACAGAGCAAATGTCAGTCGCGAAAAGTGATACGATAATAATGGAGGCGTGTAATGCTGTTGAACGCGAAGTCGACAAAGTTCTATCAAAATTCGGTGCGATAAATGAACATGCGGAGGCAGTATTGCGCGATCTGATAAACCACATACAATTTCTGAAAAAAGATCTGGAAGAAGGTAAACAGCGATGAGATCATTGATATTCCTATGTCCCGAAATCTTTGTCTTTAATCTCGATTCTCATCTTCTCCATAATTATTATTATGCAATTCGGAGAACTTATCACGACGGCTTTCGATCCTTAATGGCCCAAACTTATTTTCTGATGAATTACTTCATTTATTAACGTGTCTGCATTATCCAAATTTAAGTGTTTGAATCGACTAACCTCAAACGGTGCATGTAGACTATTTAACTTGTATAGTCTAGTTTTATGTGTTTACATAAATTGTAGTATAAAAATTTGCAAAGTGTAAATTATTCATTTCTTATATCTATTTATTATATTTTCTCATTACTGAAATATTGTCTCGACATGTACTTACTCGACATGTACTCGCAATGTCGTAAATTATTCTGTCACTGAAATTATTCAACTGATATTAAAACGAATAATTAATTTTTTAAGTGTATATTTATATGATACATTAAAATAATTTTTATAAAAAACAATGTATTTTTTATAAATTGTAAAATTTATATTTTGTTGCAAAACTTGTAATACATATAAATTTACTATATATGTATATAAATATTTGAATATATATAATTAGTAAATATAATATTTATATATTTATTCTTTTACAATAAATGTATAATCAACTTTGATTTTAAAACTTTGATTTTAATACACTTTTATTAGCACCACCTAATCAGGAACTAACAGCTGTTCAAGTTCAAATATTAAAACAAGCAATGACAAAAGCACGCGATACTGTACAAAGATTAGCAACAGATCATCGCGATCTACACAGTACAGTATCCAAGGTAGGCAAAGCAATAGACAGAAATTTTATTGCTGATTTCGCTAGTACTAGCAGGGAAGATGTATTTTCTGGACCTGAGAAATCTCATCTTCTGAATCAAATAATCTGTCAACACTTTTATCGTCAAGGAATGTTAGATATTGCCGATGAATTAGCAGTGGTAAGTTTCTTTTAATCAAATCCATGTTTAATTTATTTTACTTAATTCAAAATTATTGCATATATCTGAATATTATTTAAATTAATGTATGTAATATAGATATATAATTAATATATTAATCGCTTTGCTTATTTTCAATTTTGCAATGTTTGTCAACCTATTTTGTATGCTTCTTGTATTCATATAATTGTATATAATAACTTATGACATTTGCAGGAAGCTGGTATTAAAACCGATGAAGGTAGAAAGGAACCATTTACAGAATTGAATTATATACTGGATTGTCTAAAACAGAGAAATCTCGAACCAGCATTAGAGTGGGCTAAAAAACACAGAGAAGCACTTTTAGCACAGGTAATATCTGATTCACGAATGTATATAGTCTTGTTTTATATTGTTAGTGTATAACACATATCGTAAATTTTTCATTTCCTTTCAGAATTCTTCTCTTGAGTTTAAATTACACAGATTACATTTTATAAGATTAGTTCAACAAGGTCCTAGTAAGCAGAGAGAAGCGATACTATACGCCCGCCAAAATCTCACGCAATTCGTCGTACGTTACGAGAAAGAAGTGCAATCTTTAATGGGAACATTACTTTATTTGCCACATGGGATCCAGTCATCTCCCTATAGTCATTTATTAGATCCAACTTTATGGCTCGAGATACACGATGTTTTCACTAAAGAAGCGTGTACATTATTAGGCTTAAGTGTGGATAGTCCATTATCTGTTTGGTACATATGATTTATGTGCTCATAATTAAGAAGAATTTAACAAAACAATAATTTGTTGTTCATTTGCAGTATCAACGCAGGATGCACTGCGCTACCTGCATTACTGAACATCAAGCAAGTCATGCAACAGAGACAAGTTACCGGTATCTGGAACGGTAAAGATGAACTGCCTGTAAGTACAAGGGCAATCGTATATATAATTAAATATATGTGTATAAATATTAAAGATTCAAAACACCTTTCTCTTTCCGTGCAGATCGAAATAGACTTGGGAAAACAGAGTCGTTACCATTCAGTTTTCGCCTGTCCTATACTTAGGCAACAAAGCACAGAGAACAATCCGCCGATGAAACTGGTTTGCGGTCACGTCATTTCTCGAGACGCCTTGAACAAGCTTGCCAATGCAAATAAGTAGGTATTATATATGCGGCAAGACTGGAGTACGTTGATGTTTTCTAAGTGCTGATTTAAAGTCACTTTTTAAAAGAAATCAATTTATTTCCAGGTTGAAATGCCCATACTGTCCGGCGGAGCAGAATCCCGAAGATGCGAGACTTATTTACTTTTAAGCTGTGATATACTTACCTATACATATAGTAATATATACATATATATATATATATATAATGCGTGTATGTGTGTATAAGGATACTATATACACACATAAAAAAGCTAGTTTTGCAGTTTCTTTGTAATGAATGTGGAATGCAAAAAAGTGAATTACATGCGAAAATTGTAAATTTATATTTTACAATCGTGTCAAAATTTTCATTATTGAAATTTCTGTTGATCGTAATGTCGAGATCAATCATCTATTTTCTTTTTTAAATGCACATATAAGTCCGTTAATTACAATTCGCTTTTTAAAGGAACTGATTTTTAAATATCGAAAGAAAAAACGGAAGAACTGTGATAGTTTTATTATTCATAGGATAGTTCTAACTACGCAATGATATATTGTTGGTAAATAATTTATATATATTACTTTAGTGTATAAGTGACGTCAGCTTTGTATGCGAGTAATGACTTAAAAGCCATGAATGTGTCTAACGACGCCTAACAGATTTGTTATAAGTTCTTCATAAATTCATCCG